GCGTCCCTGCCGGATATACAGCCTCTGTTCTCCCCCTTCCCCGCGGGCTGCGGCTTTGGGCGCGCGGAGCCGCCCCACTTCCCTGGAGCAGCACGACTGGGGAGTCCGGTCCACCGGCGGGCCGCCTGCCTTTCCCGGTGGGTTGGTTTTGTCGCCCCTGCGGGTAGCTTACCCGCAGCTTGGGCGGTGACGGTTTCCACTCCTTTATGGTTAAGGATCGTTTTTTCCGCGTGTGAGGAACTGATCGTTCATCAGCCGCGTGCAGCCATTTATCCCATGAAAAGGAGATGATCCATAAACGGGAAGCCATCCCCTGTTTCCTGATACTCGGTTCTTTAATTAGAAATCGTTCTTGTAACAGTTATTAGAACTTCAGTTCACAGAGCTACCTGAAAATAAATATCCTGGAGTAGGTAAATATGGATTGAGTATATGTAGTATTTAGATATACATCTGTAAGAGTCTCGTGTCTGATAAACAAGTCTAGACTGTGACTTAACTTAGGACGAACTCAGCTATTACCAGTTTCAAACCACCTGAATTTTTCTGTTTTAGGGCCTTGATAAAGCAAATATGTTTCCTCTTGTACAACGATGCTGCTTCCACACACCTTTCAAAGTAAGTTTCTGAAGCCTTTTTTGTGTCTGTTTTTCTTTAAAAGTAAAATAGCAGAAGGTATGACTGGAGCATTGAAAATAAAAAAAAAAAGGTGACTTACAAGTTTGGAGTAGCCGTATGCAGCTTTTCTGAAATAATTCTGTTTCTACAGCAGCTTTTAGCCGCAGCCAAGATATTTCTTTTATAAAATCAAATTCTATTGCCTAAAGGTCTTTTTTTCCTCTCTCTTTTTGGTAGAGTAGTGAGGGGATAGTAGCTAATTTCTGGGGTGACCTTGTCCTGTAATCATTTTACATTCTACTCTGAAAAGGACTGCTATATCTTAACTTAAAAATGCCTAAAGAGCACATGCACAGGTGGAAGGATAGGTGGATATAGAAACCTTTTGTAGTGACTAAGGTTTGCCTAGTTGCTCTTTGTCAGCTAGTTTGTGAAAGCTGTATCAGCTTAATTAGTTAAGTTAAAAACACCTGAAAACCAAGAGGAAGGGCAGCTGTGATGTGCCCTGACTTAGAAAACTACTTGGTACAGTATTTCATAGGTAGTTTAGGTAACTGTAGATCTGTAAGCCTGTGTTGTAAGGTATTCAGAACAAGTGTTATACTTGCAGCTCCAGAAGTTAACTGGTCTCAGACTACTACTGTATGGAAAGAATAAGAGAACTTGGTCTCTCGGCCTCCAGAGGGATGTGTGTCTTCTTTCAAGATCTCCAAGCCTCAAGCCAGCATCACTATATGCAATCAAGCTCCAGGCTTTTCACACCTCCCTCCCCTTCTTCAAGAAGAAAACCCCCAAAGACTCTGAGATGAAAGACTCGGGCGTCTTGCGACGAAGTATGAAATTACTAAAGGATTCTCCCAAGCCAGCCCTTTACTTAAGCCTCACAGGGCTAATTCCATTTGTTTCTGTGCCACTGTCAATGGCTATCCAAGGGACCTACTACCCAGAGCTGGCGTTTGCTCAGATTACATATGGTGCTGTAACAGTCTCTTTTCTAGGAGGAATGAGGTGGGGGTTTGCTCTTCCGGAGGACAGCCCAGCCAAGCCAGACTGGCTGAACCTGGCTAACAGTACAGTTCCTCCTCTACTTGCCTGCCAAGCCTTACTTTTTAAAGATATCACTCAGGGTGCAATAGCGCTAGTAATGGCCTTAGGGATAGCACTACATTACGACGTTTCCCTTCTTCCTTCTTATCCTAGGTGGTTTAAAGTACTGAGGGTAGTGGGAACAGTGGTGATGGTATTATCACTGTTAGCTACTGCAGCATTGAAGACTATTTCAGAGTATCAGCAGCTACATAATGGCATAAATAAATGGCAGAACACAAAACAATAAATCAATAGGAAAAAGATATTTGTCTGCCAATATCTCAATAATTTGTATTGAGTTCCAGGGGAAATAAAGACTTATTTGTACTTTAGAGTCATAAGATGTCAGGGATCAAGATGCTTATTCTTGAATCAAACAACTTAACTAGTTTAGGAGGGAAGGATTGTAAATAGCAATGACTTCTAAGGCAGGCATGAGTCTGTCCTTATCTGTAGAACAAAGCAGCACTCTTCAATGAGTTATTACTGTCATATTAATTCAAAATGGAGATTGAAGTGACATGGGTATGAATTGCTCTATGCTGAATTATTAAAGTATCTGGTTTAACTATAATGTGTGATAATCTGTGGTGGGGAGAACAACTGTGTAGTCATAAGCAGTAACAAGGTGAAAGCAGTCCTTCTAGTTTAGTGTTTAAAGAAGCAGCAGAGAATTATGCAAAAGTACATACATGTTCAATTCCTATGTTGTGGAACAGAGCTCTTCCCTGCCTTATTTTAGCTGAGAAGGTGCTGAAAATGCTACGTGATTAAGTGTTAATCGGGTAAAAAAGGAGAGGCAAGGTTTGTTTGCAGCCTTGAGGCAAGCCAAGGCCAGCACTCACCTAAAATATGTCACCTAGCTGCTGTGATGGAGTGGGGAAAGCTAGAAGGGGAAGCTTTGTATGTTTGATAAGGCGCCACAAGAGACAGGTTAGCTTCCGCCTCAGGTTTACTTAAATAAAAAAGAATACCTGGGCCATATGTTCCTAGATTTTGTTTGGACTTAGGGCTGGCAAGCCAAGGAAGGTGCATGCAATAAAGATCTGTCATACTCCTAAATTAAAGCACTGCCAGCTGATGATAAGACACATGGACAGATGTATGATACGACACAATTGCTGGCACTAAGGGATCAGGTAATGGGATTGAAAGTAGTTTGTGTTTCTTCCTCATCAAAATTCATTTTATTTGAGCACCCAGGGCAGGTATGAATAGACTTGTAGCCTGCAAATCCTCCATGATGGGCCAGTTACTGAAAACACTGCAGAAGCATATTCTCTTTGTACTTAAGTCTTCCTAAGGCATCATTTAGGGGAAGAAGATATAACCTAAGTCACATAGATTTTCTTTCCTAGCTTCGGCTACCTCAAGAAACCTATGAAATTGTACGTGAGCATGTTTACTGTAGGCTTTATCTTAAGTATTCTTTAAGTACAGTGTAAGATGCAAGGAAAATCTCCATCCTCTATTGGATGTGGAGGGGAACATTGTCACCAAGGATGAGGAAAAGGCTGAGGTACTGACTTCTTTGCCTCTGTCTTTAATAGTCAAAGAATCCGCAAAGTAATCAGCCCCCTGACCTGGAAGATGGGGTCCGAGAGCAGAATAAACCCCCTGTAATTCAGGAGGAATGAGTTAAAGACCTGCTTTGCCATCTGGACATCCACAGGTCTATGGGGCCGGATGGGATCCAGCCAAGAGCACTGAGGGAGCTGGCGGAGGAGC